AGATAACAAGTTTTTCAAATTTTGACATAAAAGGTACCTACGGTTTGGTCTACTAACAAAATGTACCTCCCTAAAATTCTCTCTATAAAAATAGTGTCTGAAATTACAAAATTAACCCTTAACTTATCAATCTTAATTATTATTCTAATTAAATAAAATTTTATTTTTAGAAAACAAATACTATGTTTGAAATGTTTATTTTTTATATTAATTATTTAAAAAATTTTGGCATGTCAAGTGTGACAACCCACACCATGTAAATGACAAAAATTAAAGAGAGTGTGGTAAATCCTAAGTGGTGTTGATGTGGACCGTGACAAGTGTGACACCATACCCACCAGCCTTAGTCCTTGTGATAACATTATTGTGTTCAATTCATGTGAAAAATTATTCAGCAAATCCTTAACCTTGCAATTAAATCTAAAAGCTTCAAGGTACGTGTAGTGGGTGTAGTGGTACTATGGTTTGTAATCTTTGGTGATTAGATTAAATGAGACTAAGAGAAATAATAGAGACTTTAAGTTAAATTACTCTTTGGTAATGAATGATTTTTATGTCTACATTTTTATACCTTATATTATGATATTATAAATTGTATATAAAGACCATTAACATGAAAAGGGTGGATAATATATATTATGTACTAAGTAACCTTTGATGTTGCTAATAACTATATATACCTTGACATAAAGGAAAAAACCTAATTTAACCTCGTAGGACAAGATGTGTAAACTAATGTTCATGACTCGTCTTTGATAGAAAACATAAAGAAAATGTAAGAAGCACTCTATAAATTTACTTAGAAAGAGTTAACTGATCATTTGAGTTGTATTAAAGAGTAATTTATATTAAGAGTTGTATTAGATAGTATTCACGATTCATGAACTCTTTGAAACTAAAATGAGAGTTGCTACAGGGTTTAAAAGGAATGTAAATTAGAAAATTCTCTTAAAAATCTTAAAAGAATAAAATGATTTATACCTTAAAAAGTATTTACCAATTAAAAGAATTTGAATAACCTCATGAGAATAACATTATAAAAATTATTTATAATGATTTGATAGATTGAGATGAAAGAAGTAGATTGTGGATAAAGCAAAGTATATATATCTATATATATCTATATATCTATATATATATATATATATATATATCTATCTATATATATCATATCCGAGAGAGAGAGAGAGAACATTTTTAAGAAAAAATTGAACCAAATAACATATATTGAAAGTACACTGTTATTGAAAGGATTCAAATTTACCTCTTTAAACTGGAAGGATAGAAATAGAAAATTTTAGATAAAGATTATGAATTGAAAAAACTTGTGAATCTATTCTTTCCTGAGGACTCCAAGGATAAAATGATTTATAAAGGTGGGTAATTGTAACATTCTCAAAATGATCCAAGAAGTTTTTCCCTTTTAGTGAAAAAAATTTTGGAAAATAAAATAAGTATAGTATAAAAAGAAGTAATCAAAATTTATATATAATATGTGATAAATATGATTATGGAAATAAAATAGAAGTTTAATAGAGCCCAATTTAAGAAAAATGATGATTAATTACCAAAGTTGTCAAAAGTTGAGAAATGACCATTGATGATTGACCATATAGAACATGAAAGTAATAAGTTATAGGGTATTTCTAAATACACGAATCAATTTCCAAATATACGAATGAATTGATTGACTGATATATGTCAGTTACTAAATTTGACCATTTTAAATATATTATACTGTATTAAATTTCTCTTGCGGTTCCAATTCACAACGTGCTACTTTTATTTACTGCCCTTACATTTATATTAATTTTCAATCAAACCTTATACTTATTTAAACCCTATATATATATATATTATATATATATATATATATATATATATATAGAGAGAGAGAGAGAGAGAGAGAGAGAGACGTAAGTTCTATTGAAACAAAAAAGATTGTGAAAGTAGGAATCATCCTCAGCCAATAATTTATATTCATATATAGATCAAACGCCTCCCATCTACCAGCACCCACCACCACCGCTACCACCACCACCACCACCCACACCGCCACTACCCATCTATCACCGTCATCGTCATCAACACATCTACCACCTACAAACACCACCACCACCGCCACTCACTACTAGAAAAAAGGCTTTCCTTGACAGACATTGTCTGTCGTAAATGCCTATACATGACAGACAAATGTTTGTCATTGAAAGCCATGTCATAAAGGATAATGACAGACATTTGGCATGTCATAAAATTTACGACAGACCTTTATGACCCACAATTAAGACATACATACACGACACACATTTTCGACATACATTTACGATTGACTTTGTATGTCGTAATTCGTAACATTCTTATAATTATGACAGACGTTTATGACATTCTATACGACATGATATTTGACATAGTTTTACGACATATTTTGTATGTCATGGTGTGTATATATATATATATATATATATATATATATATATATATATATATATATATATATTATATTCTAAATTTGTACCAAATATTAAACAAACTAAATTACACATTTAATGTCTAATAATGCAAAATAAGATAGCATACATATACAAAACTACATTCCATTACACTAACCATAATGTCAAAAGGTTCTCTAACAATTTTGGTTTCCGTTTGAAGTTTTTGTAAGGTTTTGGTTTCGTCGAAATCACTGATTCCAATTCTGTCGTAATCACTGATTTTGGTTCCACTATCAACCACCATAATATTAAACTATTTTGTTATCATATTAGCGGTGTTTAATAACTTTGTTATGATATTAGTCATATTTTATTTTTTTAAGTTTAGCGGATTTACAATTCTAGAAGTGAGCATCGGCCCGGACCCGGGACAAACTGGACAGAGAATCAAAAATAATGGATATAATGGGAAATGAAGAATCGAAAGCATACCAAATTATAGGAAAAAAAATTAATTGCTTTCTTTGTTAAAAAAAACTAGCAATGATAAATTATATAATTTGTTTGATAACTAATTAGAAAGACGGATATTAGGTTTTATATAATATAATAGATTTTTTCCCTTAAAACTATAAGTATGATCGTAAACGAATTGAACGTTCATCAATTCAACCATATTCGTTCATTTGTTTGGTTAAACTTAAACGAACGTATATGAACAAAATTACATTCATGTTCATTCGTTTTGTTTATAACTTTAGTTATTGGAGTTTTCATTTTACTATTATAGTGAGCTTGCCTAAAATATATACATTCATTTATATTTAACAAATCGTCAAACAAATCTAGTTTAATAAATATTAATTCAATAAAAAATAATTTTATAATATTAATATATTTTTTAGCGTATGTAATAGATCGTGATTTTTTAGGTTAGTATACAACTTTTATTTGTTATTATTTCAAAATTACTAAAATAAAAAGAGACTTAATATAAAATAAAAACATTAGGTATGTATATTTTAAAAATCAATCCAAATAAATAGGGCAAAAATGTAAAATATAGAATTTGATGGGAATGCGTCAGTGCACCATAATCATATGATTGTATTTTAATATTAGTTTACTAATTTCGATGTAATACACGAAACAATTCGTGCATATAGGAGGACCCTAAGTTATACGAGGAAGGATTATCTAAGAAAATATCAATACACTAGTTAGCATCCAAGTAAAAAAAAAGGAAAGTAATAAGTTATATGGGAAAGGATTATCTAAGAAAATATCAATATACTAGTTAGCATCCAAGTCAAAAAAAGGTCTAGATGCAAACTTTTAAAGTTGAGGGACCAAAATCATCAACAAGACAAGCTTAAAGGACTAATTTAACTTAATACCATTTTGATATGACTAGAAAGATTATGGGCCAACGTGGTCACATAAGAAACTAGTCAATGTGGTGCCCGTTTATTAGAAATTAAACTTAAGGGCCCATAATGTAACATAGAGGAGTATATAAATTTGAGAATTTTTTCGCGTGGAGGGGAGAATCACGATCCATGGAGGGAGGAGGTCTGTCATGGACGAATTTTGACATTTCATGGTGGTTTAGAAGGAATGAGTTGAAAGAGAAACAACAAACTGAGAGCTAATAATCATTTAAGAGTTTGGGAGGTAGTTTTCTATCCAATTCGATATTAGGTTTGGGTCTACACCCAGTGGCGGAGCCAGCTTGTTAGAGGTGGGTCCAAGCACCCCACTTGGGAGAGGATTAGAGCCATAATATTACCATATATACCCTTAAATACTTTTCCTTTTACTAAGAAACACCCTCAATGACACCCACTCTTACAAGAAAAGTCCCTCATTGAATTTTTTTTACTGAAAATAACTATAAGTATCCTAAAATTTCAAAGTGTTGTAATTTTATTTGTATTTTTTATATGATGGACCCCGGTTAATTTCCATCCTGGATCCGCCACTGTCTACACCCAAATCCAAAAATTATACTCTATTGTCTTGATTAATGGATGAATCTTATATTAGTTGTTGCATAGGAACTCCTAAGCTTCATAAGATCAAACCCTAAATGATTAACATGGAGTTATGTTAGTTAATCCTATTAACATCATGAAAATATAATGTAATCAAAGATAAACTTCGAAATACACAAATTAACTAACAATCGTTTGCGGTGAATATCCATCATGTAATGATTCACAAAAAGATAAGAACTAAAATTTCAATCATATTGATTTCGGTTTTGGTTCCGATTCCGATTTCAATTTTCTGATTCCAAAAATGGTTGTTATGCAAAAAAAAAAATACCATATTCTAGTGTTCACATCTAATTTCACCAATCGCGCCTGGATATAACATAAATTTTTTTTAAAGGATATAACATAATCGCGCCAAGATAAAACATAAACCATTAAAAATACTAAAATATCAAAGAATTATTGTTTAAAAGTTTGCACGTGACTCGAATCTTCTAGGAACGATGTCTATATGAAAATGGCTCCCACTCTTGTCGAGGCCTGAGGCCACGTAAGTTATTAGGAGCAACCAAGCAGGTATAAAACCCTACCATGGGATCCTCAATTCTCCTCATCTTCAAATCCTCGACTCCGACTTCTGTTCCTACTCATTTCAACATCAATCGAAAAAAGTTTATCAGATAGATCGAATCAGTTCAATTTTGGTAATATCGCATATTGGCATTAGAAGATGAGATCGCCGTCAAAATCCGTAACAAAAAGGGTAAGAGATGCTGAATCTGAGTTGAATTTGCCTCCCGGTTTCCGGTTTCACCCAACCGACGAAGAGCTCGTTGTTCACTATCTCTGTCGCAAATCCCAAACGGCGGAGGAGATTTATGGTGTTGCTCCACCACCGCCGATCATCGCCGATGTTGATCTCTACAAACACGATCCATGGGAGCTTCCTGGTAACTTTTTTATTCGACTCCATACATCTTACTTCGAAATTTCCAGATTATCCAAGTCTGATTAATGATGGATTTTTCCCCTAAATCTCTTCAGATTTGGCTCTGTTTGGAACAAACGAATGGTACTTCTTCACGCCAAGAGACAGGAAATATCCTAACGGATCAAGACCAAACCGGGTCACAGGAAACGGGTACTGGAAGGCTACCGGAGCTGATAAACCCATAAAGCGAAAATCCGACCCGAATACCATCGTTGGAATCAAGAAAGCCTTGGTATTTTACACAGGAAAAGGCGTTAAAGGTATCAAGACGAATTGGATCATGCATGAGTATAGACTTCCGATGCTAAACACTACTCCTTCTAAACACACCACCATTTCCAAGGTGCGTTTGACATTTTCATTTTGTGTGTTCCATTTTCGTGATTCTTGATTGAATAAACATTGAATTATTCGATAAAAATCATTGGATTGACATGTCACATGGGTATTGTGTAGTTGGACGATTGGGTTCTATGTCGTCTTTACAACAAGAAGAACAATCCGAAAGTGAAGATCATATCTGAAGACAATAGCATTCATCATATACGTGATCTTCATCCTATATCACCATTAGATGAATCACAAAGTAACAACAGCGATAGTATGACTTCAGATGGTGAATTTGGTGGTAACTTTGAAGGTGATGTCATGTTCTTAAGCGACTTGCCACCTGAATCTTTGACCAAAGTCAAAGGTACAAGTGAGCAAAGCAGCATAGAAGAAATGGTAAATTTGATGCAAGGAGGTGATGATGGGAATGAGTGGCTTGACAGCTTGAGTTTGGAAGATTTGAATCATTGGTTGGAAGCAATGCCTCCTAATCATGATGTTTATGAATTGCCAATCATTTATAACCCAAATCAACAATATTTTTTCAATTAGGGTTTTAAACATATTAGTAGGAGTAGGTTCATGAGATTTCATTCATGTATATACCATTGAATTCTTGAGTAGGAGTAGATTCATGAGATTTCATTCATGTATATACCATTGAATTCTTGAGTAGAGTGTTATGATGATTTTTTTTTTCGTACATGTAAATTAAATACAACTTTTTAACGTAACAATTCGTTCATATTTATATGCTTGTCAAGTAGTAATTATTACAAGACACTTTCGATGTTGCTTTTTGTTTACTATAATAATATAACTTTATTATAGTATAGTTTAAGCATGAGTATTAAGCAAAATGATCTAAACTAACTGTTAAATTGAATATTACAAACTTTTAGATGGATGAGTACTATTCACATATTTAAATTTTAAAAGCAAATGTTTTTTTAAAAGAAAAATGACTCTTGAGGGTAACTACATGTTGCGTTTGTTTTTATTTGGTCACTTTCTTTTTTTGTACTCAATATATCATCGAACTTGTTGTTTGTGTTCACCATAACCCTTTTGACCGGCTTTTGACATGTGATAGCCGGTCAAAGGGTTATGGTGAACAGAAACAACAAGTTCGATGATATATTGAGTACAAAAAAAAGGAACCAAATAAGAACAAACTCAACAGTTGGTTACCCTCCTGAGTCATTTTCCCCGAAAGGTTAAATGAAATTAAAGTTGCAAAAGTATCAAAGACTGCAACCTTCTTTGACCATAACATACATGAAGAACGTTTCAGAGGGGTAACTTCGTTAAAACATGGTCTATGCCATGCTTATTGTGGTTAACTGTCAACACCTCTCTGTAAAAAGGATATAACTGTGTATGAGAGGTATATTTATCAGCATAAACGTTTACCTCAAGGTATATTATGGTGATGTGTGTGCACTTGTGATTCCACTCATTTGTAGACTTGTCTAGAATCCATGATACGATTAATCATTTGATTGGAAATGTAAATATAGTCATGAAATGCACCTGCTTAGTCAAGATTCCCCTAATAAATATTCAAGTGCATTACAAAGTTGTACATGTATGAATAATGTTCTTTCGTGGGTTACGTTTTGAAGAGAAGCAAAAATGAATCTCATAAATTCATTAATATCAGCTAGAGATGATGTGGGATTTGTTGTAAATGAGTAAAGGGAAAATGAATCAGGAGGGTAACCAACTGTTGAGTTTGTTCTCATTTGGTCCATTTCTTTTTTTTTACTCAATATACTATCGAACTTGTTGTTTGTGTTCACCATAACCCTTTGACCGACTATCACAAGTCAAAAGTCGGTCAAAAGGGTTATGGTGAACACAAACAACAAGTTCGATGGTATATTGAGTACAAAAAAAATGGACCAAATGAGAACAAACACAACAGTTTGTTACCCTCAAGAGCCATTTTCCCTTTTTTTAAACGACCATTATATTCATGAAAGCAAAACAAGTCCATGCCAATGAGAAAGAAGGTAAAGGGAAACAAGAAGAACATATTATAGGATATTAAAAGGACAACAACACCACTTTGACCAATTACAACCTACAAATTTACCTCTATATTTGAGCCAATTAAACACCAATGAAATAACCTTATCCGTCATCTTAACGGGAGAAGTGTGAATGTTGTTGGAAACTTTATCGTTCCTAGCTTTCCAAATGCTCCAAAGGTATCCGTAGACAATCGCCAATATGATCTTTCGTTTTTGGGCAAATTACCCCAAAAAGCTGCAAACCTAATGAAATTAGTCACCGAGCCCGAATGAAACGAAAAGATACCACACCATCTTAAGATCCACATTTGGACCTCCCGAGCATAGTTGCATCTGACCAAGATGTGATCAATGACCTCTGAATTAGAGGAATTGTACAGTTGGCAATTGATGGAAGGAATGCAAACTCCCCTTCGAAAAAGAGTCATTGAAGAAGGAAGTCGATCCATAGAAGCGTACCAAACGAAAGTATTAACTTTAAAGGGCACCAAATGTATCCAATTTGTAGGGTTATCAACACCCTCAGTAAGCTTAACATCAATAATGCTTCTGAAATCGTAAACATGAAATCTTCCATCAGAAGCCGAATTAGCTCACCAAGCGTCCAAACCACCAGGAAGAGAGAAATTAGAAAGAAGCCCACCAAGTTGATGTAATTCTGATAACTCAATATAATTGCGTAGAGTTATTTGCCAATCCCAATTGGAGCCAGATTAGGTCAACCTTTCCGAAATAACACAAGATTTTCTTTTCTCTAGGGTGTAAATGTTAGGAAATCTAGAAGCAAGTGGAACTTCATTCAACCAAGGATCTTGCCAAAAACAGGAATTTAGAGCCACAACCCACCTTATAAGAGAAAATAGACTTTAGATCAATACCAAGGTTGTCAAGGTTTTTGGTAATACTAGAAATATTTTTCCAAACACCGAGAATTGATTTTTTAGCAAGAGTGAAAGCTGGTTTTCGATTGAGATTATGAATGCCCCTGATGACTTTGCTCCAAATAGACTCGTTATCCGTTTTAAGTCGTCATAACCATTTAGTCAAGATAGAAATGTTAATACTCTGAAGCAATCTTACCCCTAATCCGCCATTATCTTTGGGGGCAAGGACGGTTTTCCAAGCAACCCAACAAATCTTGTTCTTCTCCTCACAACCTCCCCATAGGAAATTACGCCTAATTCTCTCTAGAGAGTCAATAACGCAAAATGGGGCTTTAAAAATCAAGAAGTAAAATAAGGGGATACTCCCGAGGACCGAATTTACTAAAGTAAGTCTTCCACTGAAAGACAGTTTTAGATTTCAATTGGACAATCTACCTTGAACCTTTTCAATAACAATTTTCCAGTTCTTCTTATGTGTCATATTAGCACCCAATGTCACACCCAAATAAACAAAAAGAAAAGAAGCGACCGCGCACCCTAACATAAGCGCACAATTGTTGATCTCGATATCAAGGAAACCAATGCCATAAACATTAGATTTTTGAAAGTTGACCTTTAGCCCCGAAATGGCCTGGAAAAATTTGAGAATTCGAGATATGTTGATAAAGTTGGATCTAGTCCATTCACCCAAAAAAATTGCATCGTCAATGTAAAAGACATGTGATATCCATAGGTCATTATAAGGAATTTGGAGCCCTTGAAAAATAGAGTGTTGCACCGTGGAGTTCATGACAACGTTCAAGACTTCCATCGTAATGATAAAAAGAAATGGTGATAAGGGATCAACTTGTCAGGCTCCTTTGGTGATGGAGAATTCTTGAGAGGGGGGTCTATTGATCAACACAGAATCTCTAGCGGACGCAAGACATCCCCTGATCCAGAACCGCCACCTGCTACCAAACCCTATTTGTAACATGAAAGAATAAAGGCAGTTCCAATTAAGAGAATCGAAAGCCTTGTCGAAGTCTATTTTGAAAAGGAACGCCTGCTCTTTACACTTTTTAACCTAAGAAACTATTTGATTGACAATAAGAGGTCTGTCTAAAATGCTGCCTCCCTCAATGAATCCAAGTTGGACCTCATCCACCACAAATCCAATTATCTTTTTAATTTTGGACACAAGGGCTTTGGCAATGATTTTGTACAAACAACCGATGAGGCTAATGGGTCGGAAGTCGTTTAGAGTGAGCGGGTCTTTGACCTTGGAAATTAAAAGCAAATGTTTAGTATGATATGGTGAGACTGTCTTTAGTACATTTCTTTTACAAGTTTTTCCATGCCATTAGTGAAGATTTTTTACAAAAGGAAGAAAACTTCACATTGATTGAAGTAGAGAGAAAACATCAATCAGACCTGACATTACCGGTTAGTTTTAAACATTAAAAATCTTATAATTTTGGTTTGGAATAATAAATAAATCTGGTTTTTAAATAATATGAAAAACAGAGGATTTAGGGTTAGTTAATGTGCTAGTTTGTTAAAGATACTAGAAAATGAGAACGCAACAACATAATAGCATTAGACGACCAAAATAGTCACTAATATAAAATTTGACTATGAATAAAACCAATGGGTTCATGACTGATGTTTGACACTACGAGTTTTTAATTATTTAAATAAAAAGTTTTTTTTGGGGCTTTTAGATTTTTTTTTATATAAATATTTTACATTTTGGGGGCTTCTAGATTTTTCAGGTATTTTACTATAGCGAACGCATGTACTAGCATCTGTCGTTGATGGATTCTCGTCGGTAAGCTGATTGTTCAGAGTTATGTGGAGTTCTCGAAGATGGAGAGGAGGGAGATAAGGGTCGTCGACGAATGGTAAGGTCGTCTACGAGGGTAAGGCCGCCAATGTTGGAGGGATATATCTTCTTTAGTTATGGTTTTAGGTAATTTAGGGTTACAGAGAAAAGGCATTGAGAGATTTAATAGAAGATGTTAGTTTAGGGTGGGTGAATTATTTTGTTTTATTTTTTCTTTAACATAAAATAAAATATAATGGATAAAAGAATTTAAAAAAATATATTAAAGGTAAAATGGTCTTTTTATATTTGGCAGGGACAAAGCACGTAACAAAAATAAATTATAGGACGGTCCGCATAAAAAAAAGTTATAAGAAACTAAACACACAGATTACCTTAAACCAAAAGAATCTTGTAATTTACCCTTCATAAAACATAGACAAAAATGCAAAAATGATCCTTGTGGTATGCATTTTTTTGGGGTTTTAGTCCAAACCCCGATTTTTTTGGTTTCGTGGTCCTTTTGGCCATGGTTTTACGCATTTTGGTCCCTCGTAAAATTGAAATGACTAAATTGCCCTTATTAGATTTATTTTCCATTTTCTGTTTTTGTCTAATTATTTATATATATTAAATAAAGATAGGGGCCTCTCTCTCTCTCTCTCTCTCTCTCTCTCTCTCTCCTATAGAAACCAAAAAAACACACACTTGGAAGAGACCACCGATCTTTGCATTGATAACCTCCGCCGGAGATCTTTCTGCCTTAGAAAACCCTCAGCATAGAGACCATCCTCATCCCACACTCGCGATTCCCAATTTCATTTGGGATTTGGTTTCATTTGCGATTTTAGGATCTGTGAATCGTGTGTATCTTGCAAATTGAAACTGAGTGATTATCCCTACTCATCATCTTCTGCAAATTTGGTGTTCCATTCTAGTGTTCAATTTTGGG